CCAACACTACTCATCTCGACGCAACAATTAACAATAAAGGTTGAATATTTATGTTAAATAATTTTGATGTATTGGGGCTTTAACACATTAGATGGCAATTGGTTGTGGGGTTGATTTGCAGTTGTCTTACGAGATTTACCCCGGCATCTTGTCGGCCATCTGACGGTCATCACATTGAACTCTCGAAAAGCGCGCCAAAACGCTGAAATCCTCATTTTCCCGCAATAATACTAGGTCATGGCACTACAGGCATCAATAAAGTCACTAGAAAATAACTAGATTATAATACACACCCCCTTCGGCCCGATGTTGACCAGTAATTCCTTGTTTTCCCCCGATGATTTTCTCACATTTTTCCTCGTTTACTATCCGTGAAACTGCTATTTTCCATTTGTCCCTCGAATTTTACTTTCGCCGAAATCAATGGAATGGGATTTGTCGGGGATTTGAAAACAAAACTAATGAAAACAACACGAGCACTAAACAACACTGTTGTTATGTTAAACTGACGCATGCACTGTTTGAAGGGGCCAGAAGTATTTGAACAATGAGATTAAAAAAAAATATTGTTGCCTTGATACGTGATGACGAAATGTAACTCGTGAAACGGTTGAGAAAACGTCGGGAGTGTGTGCGCAAGCGTCCCTTCCTCTCTTTTTTTGCTCCTTCAATTTTCTTACTCGCCCCCTGCTTCGTTCACACACTCCATTCTACACCAGTGTACACTACAACAGAACAGAAATACTAAAAATTTCCCCTCCGCCAGTGGTCTCACTTGCAATGAGACCATAAGCCATGGCTATGGCATCACAACGGTGGAATGACGATCACAGGAGAGAGGGAATGGAAGAACAGTTGGGTGACAGGGACGTATCATTAGTCCCCAAGGGTTTCTCCTTTTTTCGTTTTAGTCGTTTTAGCCCAGACCAAAATATTTCGAGAACAACAACAATCGAACTGTTACCATTCCATTCCACACAAGAAACTTCAAATTTTTCTGAATATTTAGATGTAACATCGATGTTATATTTTATTAAAATAATAATTACATACAGCACAAGAAAATAGTTGTTAACAATTTATATTAAACATATAATATATTTTTTGAATGGATTTATTAAAAAACTGAAAAATCCAATGGTTCGTTGACTCGAAAATATTTTAGCGTTTCAATATGAGAAGAAAACTATTCCCATTCAGCCTCCCACGAATGTATTTATGTTTTTAAGAATGCATTTTTAAAATATCTTCAATTGGTGGATATTATATATATTTCTAATATATTTTTAATGAGGCATAAATCGAAATGAATCCATTAAACTATCTCTATCATAATTTTTTTACTGTAATTCGTGCAGCAGCAAAATTGATCATGATCAAGAGTGACCCTCTTAGTGCAACAATTGAATAAGTTATTACAATAATAAAAGAACCGAATTAATAACATCACCCTCGCTCCAACAATCAAAGAGTAGATCGCAAATTCAGTAGTATTGTCGATTATTTTCTATCGATCTACCAATAGATGCATTATTATTATTCATGCAACTTGAGGTTTAATCATAAAAAATTATTGTTGACCACGAATCGGATAATTAATACAAAAGATTTTCTCATTTAAATCAAATAATTCAAATAAAAGAAAAAAAACGACAAATGTTTACATGAGAAAGAAACAAGATGCGTCTTTTTTAATTCCAAATATCAATGTACAGAGTAGCGCTCGAATGATAAAAAATTATTTTTATTTTAGGTGAGGTCATAACTCGGCACATCCCTGAGGAGTTAGTGGGCCGGATTATCGAGAAATTGCAGAGGGGATAAATGTATAATGGGACAGAGGGGGAGAGTTTGGGCCCGGTGTTTAGGTAAAGTCGTAACGTATTTATTTGAAAAGTAACTTCAAGCGGCTAAACGCTGAATTCCGAGACTCTTCCCCACCTTTCTAATTTTTAAACCGCTTTTATTCTCCCAAAAATCTTGGGAAACCAGGAGAGAGGAAAAATGTGTTCGCAGAGAAATTCCGTGGAGCAGTCGAAGGTGCAGATGCTGTCATAAGGGGTGAAAACATTAATCTAGTCGTGGGAATTATTCATCAAATATCGACGATGACAAATATTTCAGGTCGAGGGACTTCTGGACGATCTAGAACTTGCATTGCTGAATACGTTATGGCCTTTATTTCCGCCCCTTGAGGATGTTTACCAAGCATGAATTCTTCTCCATATGCTGTTGCTTTCAGTTTGAAATTTTCTAGGTCGAATTCGATTATTTTTATTTTCTGCAATAGAGAAAATGCAAGCTATTACGTATTCTCATCCATCATTGTACTGATAATCATTTATCTCAGTATTCAGAAAAAACCATAAGATTTCTACACGTGGAGAACATTTTTAATTTCACATTTTCACTTTCTTTGTTACAACTTCGGAAATTAGACATGAAAATAATTTTGGAATTGGAAGAAAAAAAGTGATGTCTTGTGAAATTTTCATCGTTTCTGAAGAGCGAATCTATTTTTTAATGTATAATTTATTGGGATAATTAATTAAGTTTTTATAGACAAAACGATCAGTAAAGTGGTTTAAGCAAGGTACGAAAGATCGCTGTTTCTAATTTCTATCATGTTTCGCTGTGATGTGATTTTTCAACTTGACATGAATGGTGGCTAGAGATAGTACCTTAGCGACTAGAAAGGGCTCTGCACAGAACATGAAGAGTAATTCATCGAGGAAATGGTAGAGCAGTCCCTGGATGTCGTCACCTTCTGCTTCGATGTCATGGGTTGTAAGAATTTCGACGGAGTCCAGTTCAGTCATGTAATCGAACATTGCTACTCCAGATTGCTCAAAGGCCTCTTGCATTGTTTCTCCCCAAGCATGGATCCTTTTTTAATTATTCAATCATTGAGTCAACTCTGCATATCAGCGATTATGATACATTAAAGCAGCACAGAATAAAAAGGATTTCCTTTCTATCCTCAAAAAGGGAAAAACATCGATAATATGAAAGAAAATCCAGAACTTTTACATTTAGGAAATCATGAAATATTGTTAGTTACACAAGAATTAATCAAGATCATCTCTCTTTTTAGTTTTTGTTCATTTAAATTAATCAATTGAAGATTAGGGGATTAATAATTATTTTAGAAGTTAAGACAAAACAGCTGATTCCATTGCTATGTCAACAATCGAAAATATTACTGCTTTCTTATGGCATTAGAATAAATCAAGAATGTACGATATAAAATAACTCTGAACATCTTCCTGTCATATAATGATGGCTAAAGCTCATCTCTGAAATTCTTGATATAACAAATTTAACAATTTATAAAATAAATAAATAAAATAAAAAAGGGAAAAATGTCCATTTTTTTATATCACCACATGGAGTAGAATCGTAAATTTAGGTTAAACGTTAAGATAATCTAGAAATACGATATTTCCATCTTAAACATTATCATACTTTACGTTACAAATGAAATTTCCTTACTGAACATCTGCTGTGTGATCCAAATCTAAAACAAAGTAAGAAATGCAATGCAATCCCTTAATAACAAAAACGTTTCGACGGTTTCATGTCTTACATTTCCCGCCTTTAAATAATACAATCTTAGTTATTAATTTGGCTATATTGAAAATCCATGAATTATTAATTTTTTTTTCTATGCAGATTAAATAAGTCAATGGGAATTCTAAGTGTCTTTATTTTACTTACACTCGTATTTAATTGGCGCCGGAACATAATCCTCATCCGTCAATCCGTCCATGATGACCAATCAGCTGATCGTAAGCACGAGGCGGCATCAGCTGATTTAAGTCACTGACAGGAGCACATGAATAGAGGTTAAGACAGGCTGTGGTCATTGATTCAGATGTCACCACTAGTCGATCTCAAGAGAATTCAGCCGATAAGTTTGCGATCTATTCTGAATATTAAAAGTCGATTGTCTTTTTGCACGTACTTCAAAAATAATAATAATTACATTTTTCACAAATGGGGATGGATAAATAGGAGGATAACGAATTTTTAGTCGTCTTTAATTGCAACTGATTTTTTACATAAAAGTCGTCATTCTGTATATATCCAGTTACACCGCGAAAACAAAGAATAGTGTCTAAAAAAAAAGATTTGAAAACCAACATTTTTTGTTTGTGTATTTTATGAAATAAAGGAATTTGCAAATATTCAGCAGAATCTTTGATTAATTTGATTTGAGAATGATAAACTTTGCCAAATTTTTCTACAGGTCCACAGATGCAAAAATACTTAGTATCTTACACACCATTGTCGGACCATGTAAAATAAACATAAGGATGTAGAATTAAATCGAATTCATGGAAATGGAAATTTTTATTTTACATTTTACACATTGAATGAGGAAATAAGGAATATAAAAAATGATTTCTTCGATTTAAACAATTTTTGTTTGAAAACTTTTTTGTTATTCACTCATTGTAATTCACTGGCATTTGCATCACATTTTTCTTTAATTGTGACTCTGATTCATCAAAATTCTTTGGATGGAAACTCAAAATTTCTTTCTCATCTTACAACGTTAAAAAAAATCGTATTAAGTAGACATTGATGCATCGATGCTACTCAATTTTTCATTAATTAAAATTCCCGGTGTAATTTTTGCTACATTCAGCGAAAAGAAATCTACGGAAAATGGGATAGTATGAATTCTGAAATGTCTTGTCAGACGATTTTCTGGACCCGTGAGCTATCGATTTCAACCATGCAAAACTCCAAATGCGTCAAGTTCATGCGCGCGTAACAGCATTTTAAATATTTAAAAAATATAACTCGGAGTGACTTTCATTGCAAGAGAGATATATGCAAATAATTTTATCTTAGTTGAAATAATTTAGTATTTGCTGGATAATTATATACCCTGTCAAAAAGTCGCGGACTTTTGATGGGTTTAAAATTTACATAAATATAATAATAATTTTGCAAGAAATATTATTATAAATTAAAACAGGCAATTTATAATCGTTTAAAGTATAAACAACTGATCACTGTTTCGAATATCGATCAATGTTGAAGTAAATGGTTGTTCTTATGATTGTGATTACTATATCGAAAATCTAAAAAATATTAAGTACTACATATTGACAGGACATCTTTGCAGAAATTGTTTTTTCGAAATGCTTTCCGTGCAAATCCTTCTTTCAAATATAGAAAAATTATCATGCTACTAGTGAAAATATTTATACTCTTTATCCGTTAATCATAATAAATTTGAATGTGTGACGAGATTGTTTTAGCTTGTAAGATCTCACATTAATATTTAGAATATATTTTTTATTTTCGTATTTGAAAAAAAAAGATAATTCTCATATTTTCGAGGTACTGAACCGCAAATAAAATTCAACAATTGAGAGAAATTTCTATATTGTTTATTGAAAGCCCAAAAGACATTCATGGAAAAATAACGAAAACTCACTTTTTAATTTGACGGCAATGAGAGCAACATACGCGACACTAAAATGACTCACATTTGCCTCTCAATAACCAATTCCGAATAAATTAAACAAATCTGTATCATTGACCAATAGGTCGATGGCATTCATAGTGCGTGGGGTATGAATGTGATGCTAGGTGAACGTAATACCATATAATAATTACACGTGATTGTCCTTATTCCAAAACCAAAATAAATATCATTGATTCTCCAATCGGTAGATGAAGGATTGGCTATAAAAATACAGAAGGAAATGCAGGAAAAAAAAAATTGCGATTGACGTGATAAAAAAAAAAAAATCGCGAGAACAAGTGACTTTGATCTCCAATAGATGTGTAACACCACAAAAGAAACTGGTTTCAACATCCCAGGATGTCCAAGGGCATCCACTCGTTTTCTATACATCACATCTCCCTCTCTGATGTACACTGATTATATAAATACTGTCTCCATGCATGGAGCTCAACCTCCCAACTCCATTCCAGTGGTAAACAATGAAAAAAATATGGCAATAAAAAGATTATCAATTAGACACATCATTGCATACCATTGCTGACAATTCATCTGAGAAAAATAGGTGCAGTTTCCACATTTTTCACAACATCCCTCATCTTATGAAAGTCACCAACACGAACACAAACAAAGAAACAGAGAAACCATTTTTTCATATTGTTTTTCAGATTTTATCCTCAGGAATAAAAATTGAGAATAAAGAAGTGAATTATAACATATAATTCTGAAAAACCTCGCAAGAATTATAATTCCTATCTGACGACATTAAACCACAAGTTGGAAGGGGTGAAATTGAAATACACGTAATAATACGTGGAATCCTGAAAAATGGAATTATTTGGTGGCATTGAAATGGTTATTGTAAATGATTTGTTGAAAACAATTTTAATAAGTTCAATTTACTACGCATTATTTTATGCAAATGCATTGCATTTTCTGGCCTCAATGGAAAATACGATTTAGAAACTGGATTGTAAAGAAAAAGAATTAGAAATTTAATGTGGCATTGAAACTGAAAAATGACTAGCAAAAAAGTGTCAAGAATAATAGTGAATCATTGGAGGATAAAATTTAATGGAATGAATGAATAATTCATGGCCATTTGGCACTGATGATTTACTATTGATCTATCAATTGAACTTAGGACGTGATTAAATGGCTGAAACCCCAGATTTAACAACTATGTCTCAATTTTCATTCTCTCAACTTGTTAATAGAATAGTAATGAAATTACGGAAAAGCTAAAAAATCAATAGCATTTGTCCCTATCCACCAGCAACATTTGTCAATAGTATTTCTCAGTTGCACCTGCATCTATCTCTCCCCTACCCTCGGATAATTTTTTCTTCTGCGCTTTAATGACATGCAATTTTGCAACGCAACTACTCGACACACGGCTGTAAGTCCTTGGGCTCGAAAAACTATATAAAGTGAAACAGTGGGCCTCTCGCATCCCAAGTTAGTACGAGACCTGTCATTTTCTCATATTGTTTTCATTCAATCCGTGTAAATATGACACTTGGGAAAGTAATTGTTCTCGTGCTTTGTGTATCGACTCTCGCTCACTCACGTGAAGTTGATCTACGTAAGTTTTTAATATTTTTATTTTTCCATCTATTATTTAACCCCAGTTTGGTCACCTCATTCTTGACATTTCTCTTTCAATTCCTCAGTCAGACTCAACTATCGAACAATCACTCTGGAAACCTTTAGAAATATCCCAACACTTTTTAACAATTAAACTCATTCGTCTGTGTAATTTTCTTATGAGTTTTTAATAGATGTTAAAGAATGAAAATAGTGGGCAACTGAGCGTTGAACTAGGTTTCTCGGAATGTTTTTAAATTAGTTTTCGTTGTTTTTCCAGCTGAGGCCGTCAAGACATGCAAGAAAGATTCTGATGATTACGCATCGTGTTTGAGGCTTGCCATTCAAGAATCTTGGCCAATTTTTGTTAATGGTGAGTTTTGTGTTATAATACAAAAAAATTTAATTATGCCGTTTTTCAAATTTTTTAAACAAATGAAATCGCCAATGAACCAATAATGAATCATCCTGGGAGAACAATCAGTGTTTGTTTCGAGTGACTCAATTATAAGTAAAATTGAATGATATTGATATTTAATTCCATAATCTTGCAGATAGAAAAAATTTTGCTGAATAACAAAATAGATTCGTCCGTGACAAGTTAATGAGTCAAAATAAAATGCTTGTCATTCACCGAATTGCTCGAATAATTATCAATGATTATTTATTATTATTATTATTATATAATTATCTATTGAAAAGAACAATGCATGTATAATTTTCATAGAAATTTTTTTTGCTGAAGAAGTTTTTTTGTTTTATTGAAATGAACAACAAAAAAACTAGGAATTATAAAGAAACACGGAATTTAATTGACTATGAGTTTTTCATTAGAGCACTTTAGGAAATACGTTCATGAAAATTAAGTTAAAAATGAATTAATTACAATGGCATAATAATCATATCTTTGCCTTGGCAATAAAGTGACCTATGTATTTTTTACCTTTGGAATAGTTATGCCTCTGCAGACTCTTTTTATTTTTCTATTTCTGTACTTTGAGGAAGAGGCATATGTGTTTTGGTTATCAAAGAATAAATTCATCAATAAAATTAATAAAACTACAGTAAATGTGGGGCTACATTTCACATCACGATTTTTTTTTAATAAAAATTCTATAGAGCTTCCCAAAAATATGAAAATTAAATAATTATATGGGACATATGCAACTTTGCTGTTCATTTACTGCGACTATGTAGAATTGATTATTAATTAATAAATGTAATGAAGGCATTCCTGAGCTGAATGTGCCCCAGTTGGATCCCTTCGTAGTGGAGGTATCCAATAACAACTATGCAGTTGGTGAAGTGACGGGGAGAATGGCAGTGAGGGACGCTAAATCCTATGGACTTGCCAAAGCACGTTTCTTATCAGTCAGACCTTATCACGAGGGCGACCACTTCCGTCTGGACATCGATTATGAATTGCCCAAAGTATTCATCGAGGGTGATTATAAAGCTGAAGGTACCGTTGGAGCCTTCAAAATTGGTGGCAAAGGTATGGAAAAATTTTCAATTTTTCATGAGCATTTCTAAACCCCCGAATATTTACAGATTGATTAATTTTTTCATCCGGATGGTAGGATGGCAGTTTTTTATTGGTTTCTAAGTTTCTAGGTTTTTGTCTCAAGGTGAATAAATGCAGTCTAATGAGGTCAAATTTGCATTTGTATAACTTTTTTTGTAATTATATTCATATAAGCTTCACTTTAATTAAATTCTATCCATTAATAGTAATTAAAATCAAATGTATCCTGAATTTTGGATAGGCATATTTTTTCAAAAATTCATTTTTCAATGATTTCTCAAAATTTGCTATTAAAATCGATTGTTTTTAATAAAAACAACTTACTTTCATTATGAGGTATTATGGTTGCTATCACTACTCTTATATATTTTCATCACGATATGTCGAAATGTAAGTTTTCGGGCACGCTGCACTTCACATGCCTAAAAAGTGACTTTCCCGCACATAAAGAGAGGCAAAAAATTGTTCACAATTCGTGCAGAAAGTGTTTTTTGGCATGTGGGATTATACCTTCGCCTTCGGCTCCTGCTATAATCCTTCCATACGTCAAAAACCACTTTTCCGCACTTGTTACGAAATATACTATTGTTTAAATTTCTATATTCAATCTCACAATGACCCTGATTTAATTCAAATTACGATTTGAGTTAAACTTTGATGAAATTTCAATTGAGACTTCGTTAGTTTTTTTAATTCCTTCACAATTAAGAATAACAACGAAATATCGAAATAAATATAATGAATATAGAAGAAGATTTTTAAGCATTACCTTTTTTTTTGCTCTGTATATACCTGAGAGTAGTATACATTCCGAGCAAAATCAACTTGAGCGTCTTTGAGGTTTATAAGAGGAAAAAACATTTGGGATGGTGATTCAATTAAAAATTAATAAGTCGGAAAGTTGAAATTAGAAATGATTGAAATGTTTGATGAGAAAATGCCAACCTTCCAAACTTGTAATTTCTCATTTCTAAATTATAATTTATTTATACTTATTTATTTCTACTTGGAAAGTTTCTTAGTAGAGTAACTACCGATGAATAAACATAAACATAACTTCTGTAAGAACCCGTATATGAGGGAAAGTTCATTTGGTTATTTCTGTTTCGACTATCGCGATTATTTTCTGAGATAAAAAGACAGGCATTACCTTACTGTAGACTTATTCTTGAATACGGAAAAGTCAGATTTTCTCAACGTTGTTAAATATTGTTAAAAATTTTTTTTCTATTAAGGACAATTCAACATAAGCATGACTGACGTCAGGTGCATGCTGGTGCTGGAGGGGCCAGTAATTAGTGACAGATGGGTTGTGGAGAGACTTAGCCTCACACCAGAGGTCGGTGATATGAAAATTTGGGCCTCTGACTTGTTCAATGGAAATGAACAATTGAGTAAGTTATATAATTTAGTTAGCAAGAACCTCATGAGGAACAAATAGAAAAAAACCACGAGGGAACTCATTCCTTTACGTAGAAAATCCATCTTCATTGATCATTTATTTACTATCCATTTATATCGATAGTCAATTATTTTAAAAGATGACAGATAATGACATTATTTACACATTTATTTATTGGATTTGTAACGGATGTCCATTAAACATTCTATTAGTTTTCGGTCAATTTTATTGAAACGATCGAGGACAAATGCTCAATTCAAAAAGTTAATGAAATCGGATTTTTTAGTTTTCGATCGAAATCTACTCTTCAAACATTTTCTATACACTTTCTTTGCTTCAAATTTATCATTTGTTTTGATTCTAAGGCGTTCCTTTTCCCATTAAATATTCCTCTGATTTTTTTCAAAATGAATGCCCGAACATTTGTCACTAAAATAATCTGTAGATAGAAATTCATAATTTATTTTTTTTTTTTAATGAACCTCCAGACACTCAATGCAAACAAAAAAACAGAAATCCTATAATCATCGTACATAATTTCTATCCAATTAAAATCCGAGATTTGAGAATTTGTGATTTGAGAATATAACTTACTTATTTATAAAGAGTAGTTATAATTGGTGTAAATTGATTTCTATTATTTACCCTATTTGTATTTTTACAGCCCGAGCAGCTCTTAATTTCGCAAACGAATACTGGGAGATCCTCTACCGTGGAATGCTGCCATTCGCAGCAAAAACCTGGAATGCTAGTCTTAAAGATCTCGTCAACGGAATCTTCGCCAATCTTTCATTCTCGAAGACCTTCCCTTGATCCAAAAAAGGCCATTATTTCAACAATTTATTCCATTTTCCCTTGAATGATTTCAACAACTTAGTAGAGAAATGGAACTCACATATAGTTTTTTTTTATGCGTAATGATGTACATAAGGAGTGGTTTTAGAGAAAAAGTCGGATTTTTTTTTGTAACTGAGTAAATTTCTGATATTTTCCTCTACATTTACTCCTTATCACCATAACTCAACAAACAATTATTGATTAGTCAATATTTTAATACCCCACATCACCGATGATTTAGATTTGCTCAAAAGTTCCTGCCTTTGATTACAAATTGAATGTTCACCATGCGTGGAAATTCTTACAATGAAACCTCTTGTAACATTCAGTTTATACCTATTAATCTCAGTAATTTAGCAAGTGAAGACCGAAGAAACTATTCAAGAAGAAAAATATATGAATAAAGACAAAAAATGACGGGTTAAGGCGTCAACTCTGCCATCATTTAGAAAGTCTCGAGTGGAAAGTTCCATTCACTGCGAAATGTTTTCCAACATTTCAATTTACAACTCAATTTTTGCTCATGACCAACTAATGAAAACTAAATGAAAAATAAATTCCAAGTGTGTCAGAAGGAGTAAATTAATTCAACAATCATTTTACATTTAATGTTCCTACAGTATGTATTTTATAGGAAATTGATACTATCAACAATGAAGTATCCGTTTGTCTTGAAACATGCACCAGCCGATAAAAAAAATATGTGAAAATAGAAACTAGTTGAGAGGAATTCTATGTTCCATGGCTTCATTATCGTATTGTCACGGTAATAGGAATGTCTCCACTGGAACGTTGCGCAATAATTGATTAACAATAGCTGAAAATAAGACTGAGAGCTTCTTCTTCAATTGTGGTTCCATGATTTTCAGCACCTCCTGACCGTTTTCGCGGAGGAACAAATTCGTTGCTTCACCTTGAAGAGTTAAGACTTTCATGTGATTAATGGGTAAAGACGTGAATTGAAAATTTGATAGGTTATATTCCATGTTCAGAAGAATTGAACAACAAAGGAGCTTATCGTGAAAAGTCGACGGAATTCAGTCCGAAATTCTCTTATTTTCGAAACATACAGAAAAAATTTTTAGGGAACTAACTTCTTTGAAAATAGTGAAAATTCAGTAGAAAAACTCCCTCACTGTTTTTACGGAGGATATCCTTAGGTATCTCTTGAAATTTCAACCACAGTGTCAGAAAAATTTTTAATTACATCAGTTCAAATTCACCCTCAATTGAATACGTTCACACAATTTTCTATCGATTTTCCCATGAAAGCTTGAAATTTTATGAAAATATTTTTTCTCAGTCTTTAGCGGAAATTTCAAAAATGGTATTCTGATAGATTATTCGGAAAATTTAGTTCTCTTTTTTCTGAATCAAAGTGTAATTTTTATTTATTCACATATAAAAGTAATAATAGATAAATGTGGGTTTGTCACAAACTTCTATTGAATAAAAATATGACACTTTCCTTCATTTTCGTGGCTTCTGCTTGATTTATTTAGGAAATAAAATGAAAAGTAGAAAGCAATGTTCAAAGGAAATTTGATAGCTGATGAAGAATATTTGCTGACACCTCGAAAGATTTAATGGATTCACAGATATTTTCAAAACAGCAATTGTTGATTTTTTCCCTTTCTTTTCTCGCTTTCAACAGTTTCTGAGATAATGAGATATTCCGCGGAATAATAGAGAAATGTAAATTGATTACTTACTAATTATGCGATTGCGAGTGGAATCTTTTCTGACGCGCATGAATACATCCTTAACACGTAACTGCACATCGAGTTCTTCAACATGAAGATAAGTTTTCTCGTCCTTGATGGAAGTTGATAATGTGCCTCTTACAAGAGCTTCAACATGATCAAACCTTGCATGAAATGTGCCATTGCTACTTGCAGGAAGGATAATTAACACCCCGGAGCTGCAGCAATAGAAATTATCCACGTAATCCATTAGAATTCAATTGAAAACGCGTGCAAACATTGGAATATGGTGAACGTGAAGTGAATTTATTTCTGCCAAGTTAATGTACGTAAATATTTCCATTTGAAATATACATGTATTTTTTTGTGGTAATTAAATTCACTTGGTACACTCATTTTTCTTCTGAGAAATATTCCATGTATTGCATGTACTATTTTATTAGTTTTAAAGAATTATAAAATTCTTCGGACCAAATTCTTCAAATCAGATTTGTTGAAAATAACTGAATATCGTTAGAGGGTACTTAAAGGATAATATTATCCGTGAACTGCTTAACGAATGATTTTCTGATTTTCTGATTAATTTGTAGTTTAATAATCCAGTGAGTCTATGAAGTGACTCACCTTTGGTAATTAGCATTCAATGCCAGCACTGGCATTGTAACAGTTGCCTCAAATGGAGATCCAAGCTTTATATCCTTGACTGTGAAATTACTGGCGCCTTTAACAAAAAGCTCTCGCAATTGTACTCGATATCCATTTGTGCCACCTGTCAGGGATAATGTCAGTTCATCCATCTATTTAAACAATCAAAGAAACAGGATGTGAAGATGGAATTATTCAGGGAGAAATAGAAGTATTCAAGTGCTAAAAATAATAAATGATCATTAAATCACCACAAAGGGAAAAGAAATGTAAAAAGAAAAACATTCCCATCGATGTACATCCATCATAGATGATAATTTGTGAAGACTGTTCTTGAGGCTGATGATTGTTTTAACGGAGAAAGTTTTTCGATATTTTCTTTTCAAACTCTTTAAAATCTCTTCTAAATGAGGAAAAGTGAAAGTCCGCGAATTTGCAAAGGTTATGCGGATGGCTTTTCAGAAAAATGGTGAAATGGAATTTTTGTTGGTGAAAAAAATCTAAAATAGATATTGAAACTCACTTTGAATGGTTCCACCGATGGCAATTCAATTTCAGGTATTCCATCCTTGAGATAAGGTCTCAAATGATGGAGAGCACCAATCAGACATGATTGCAACTGTGGATCACTTCTGGAGCACTGTTTAACATATTCAGCTGAAGAATAAAAAATATTTATGATACAAAAATCGTTTATTCTATGTTAAGAGTGAAAGGTATTTACGAGGTGTCTGGGAAACACTGAGTGCCACCAAATAAGTAATAATTAATCCAAGGAAGAGAAACATTTTTGTGCCCTCGATTGAGTATTTTTTCAATGAAAATTTACTCGATATTGTGAGTGGGAAAGCTCAGTGCGTTGTAACTCAAGTCGTACGAAGAAATGCAGATGCTAGTTGCAGTCAGTGGAGAATACTTTCACTGGTGCGCCAATCAACATTGCACTCACTTTTGTCTTACCTGGCTTTCAGGGTAATTATTGTCTCTTCAGGTTATTGACCAGCTGATTACCAAAGAATCTTCATTTTGTCATCTACAAATCAACATCCCAGAAATCGTTTCCACCGCCAAATAATGTTTATTTCTTGAGAATAAATATCTGTGAAGAATAATTCGGATAATGTGTCAGACAATGTGAGATTTTGTTCAAGTATTCATGACCATTTCAGCATAAAGTAGAAAATGCTTGCTACAATAACTCGGTTTTTTCGTTTTAAAAAATGAGAAAATGGATGAAGTTAGTGACAGTTTCAGACCTTCAGGAATCAGTGAATTTTATATTGAATTAATCGATAATTTACGCAGAAATTAATTTTAAGACCCACATGTACTATCTATCGAATGTTGTCATTGACTTGAATTTTATTTTGTTAGTGTAGAATGGTTCACATATTTCACATATTTTTTAAAAAATAATGACGAAATGGAAGAAAAGCGGAATCTGCGAATGTATAGAAAAATCATTAAAAGTACGCTTCTCAGCCACAATGATAGGGGAAAATATACATTTCACAATCATTAACAATATAGCATCAAAGCGGACTATCAATGTTGCCGACAGTAAACTAAGTATTTTTAATTAATTAAATTTTTCTATAAATTTGGCGGATTTTTTAGAGTCGATATCTACTTGTTCCACTTTTCAACAAATTTTCTTCTTTTTTATAATCATTTTCTTATCTCTATTGGCGTTGTGTCCGCAACATAATTTGAACTCAAATTCAGAAATATTTTCCACTAAGATAAAATTAAATCCGAAGATACACAATTGATTATCTACACGTGAGTTAAAATTTTTTTTCTGCAATTATTGATTAATTCCGTAATTACTAATTCCATTATAAGAAGAATAATATTCCGAGAAATTAATGATTGATTGGGATTCGCTAAAAAGACGCAGATCTCTAGTCCTTATCGGAACATTCATTACCGTAACTTTTATTCCAATTCTAAGATGTCTATGTTAACTTGGAAATTATGAACCTCGCATCATTCTATGAATCTATGAAGTTTTTAATTCCCTGGAAAAATTCTCGTCTGCATGAAAAATAATTATTGACGCTGAAACACCAATTTCGAATGGCGAAAATAAGTATAAACTTTTCAATTCTTGATTTAATATTTGTTGATTCCTCCTAAATTGAGATCATAAATTTTCGATGCCGTACATAAACACTATTTTATTACTAAAAATAAATTTAAGATGAATGAAGTACCGTTTGATTTATTACGAAGATGTTAATTACTCTGTTAAATCAGAATTGACCGCAAAGTTGCATAACTTTAAGTGCATCCATGAATGAAATCGCGCCATTGGTGACAATCATTCACCACTTCCCATTGAGAAACATTTGTGGAAAATAATCTTCAAATTTTGAGCAGGAGAATACATTTTCTACAGGCAACGGAGAAAAGACAAGAGGAAATATGAAAGCAATAATCAACTCGCGTCATGCACAGCATATTACGTATTACATTACCGCTCCATAATCGCACCTCATAACAAGTCTGAAAACTCACGTAACCACATCGTTTTCCATCAAAATGTCAGAACAAATCATGTGTAATCCCAATTAAAAATCGATTTGACTATACAAAAACTTGAACTTATGGTACATCATATCTTTGGCGGAAAAATTTACTTTTTTGTCACTATTAGACAACAAATTGCATGGAAATGTTGTATGCAAATTTAATTGTCTCAACCGAATGTGCTTGACAAAAAAAAGAAATCAACTGATATTACCTTACTGATATTACTGGGATTTTTTCAAAATTTCAGTCGCAATAACAGCTGACATATCAATTATAAGAGTGTGCATCAAATTTCAATTAACAACTGTCTTGGGAATTCTAAGAAATTCAGGTGTTCATGCTAAATGATCATTAATTTTTCAGCGAGTGAATAAATTTGATATCAGATGCAATTCAATTCTTAATGGATTGGAAATTTCGAGAAGTTATTTCCTGGATTTTCAATCTCACGGTTGATTAATCCGAGTGTGGCCCTGAAAATTGCGATTTACTTGATTATTAAAAAAATTAACTGATTTTTCAAGGTCGAACTCTATGCAGAAATGTCATGTTACTCTGTTGTTTTTTTATGTTATTAATTAAGAACTTGGAAAAGTCCATTATTTTTCTACGGAAAATATTACGCGACCACTTTTGTTAAAAAATTTTTTTGCACACTAAACGTTATCTGGATACACTCAGAGAAAAAGTACTTTGTGCCATTGCGGGCGTAAAACATGTAGCTACGCGTTTGTTTTATGTCCCCGCAAAGGAATGCATCTATATGCGTCGGATCACTATTTATCGATTGCAAACAAGAATAATGCATATTCTCGAAACTTGTTTCAGTATATATACATAGAATATAATGGGATCATTAAAAAATACATATCTGCAATACATTTTTATAATATGAACACATATATTTCCCATGTATATCGCCTTATAAAATTTTTTTCCGCTTGTATACCGTTTCGGCTTTTTACAATTTGTTCTCTTCCCACAACCCAACGCACTATAGCCCATTTGCCGAAGGGAGAGAAGAACCTCATTCGAGGGGAACAACTTGCCCTGTTAGAGTCATTGAAATAAATTGGTGTTTCAACGGTCATTTACATGAAAAATATTCATCAGATCTCAATGCCCGCTATTTCATTCCAAAGCTCATATATGCTTAACACAGACTGGAAATAGGCAGATGGAAATACTGTCATTGGACAGCTCAGAAAATTATCTTTAAAATGATATATAATTTTTCATTTATCTCACGTGTCAAATCGTGAAAATGTTCACATAATTGTTAACACAAAAAACGTAATCGAATGAACAAAGTGTCGTTCGAAAGCTAAAAGAATGAGCTTTGGAATGATACATAATAGTCATGGTGATTCCTCTATTTAAAAATGCAAGGTAAATATTTCATATGATCACATGCTGAAACGCTCATAACTAATCATCATTCGAACGCCTAGAAAATGAACTTTTAAATCATACCGGAAATGCATCATTTTTGCTTACACTAAAACTTTCAAGGTAGACCTGACATACCGACTTCATGTTTTCTGATGCTCAAATAATCGTAACTTCAGTTTACGTTGAGATAAATGGATGAAATTTAAACTATTCGCAGGCTGGCTTTGAAATGATATAAAATACATGTCATTTATATGTAAGAGAGTGAGGCATTGAGGACTGAGAGAAAAGGAACAGTGTGTGTAATTTTGTGGAGGGATGGGTTATGGGACAATCATGATTTTGGGGATAGTTAATGGATAACGCTCAAAACCTTAATGCATTGAATAAAAATCTCTCCAAAAGGCATAATTGGGCTCATAAACTAATGTGTCATCACTTTTATTCCTCAATTTTTTACTAAACCCATTTAATAGGTTTATTAGCATAATTATTTAATTATTTATTAACTCATTTTTGTCTCAAAACTCATCCCTCCACGGTATAATTTCAATAGGAAATGATGAATAGAGTTGAAAATTGACTTGTATTGATGATAAGAAAGTAATTAATCTTTATTTTTCCATTATTTCAATCAATAATTGCTAAATAAGTTCAAGGAATGGCTAACGATTGCATTCCATGCTCGGATCCTACGCTTGAGTCAAGCTAGACTAGTCTTGGTCCGAGCTTAGGCCAAGCTCGAACCCCAGTCACTTGATACTATCAGTCGTCAATGCCCGCCTCTCTTATATATCAATGACATCTTTCCCAATATTGATATCGATTCGAACTTAGTTATGAACGTTTAAGCATGTGATCATATGAAATGGCTACTTTGCATTTTTTGCATACATCACATGTTTCTATCGAATTAGTGGAAGAATACCCATAAAATAACCACAACAACAACAACAACAACAATAACAACAACAACAACAACAACAACAACAACAACAACAACAACAACAACGACAACAATAATAATAATAATAATAATAATAATAATAATAATAATTTCCTTGATATCAAAAATGGCAATACTTTGTTTTACATCCCACCTTCCTTACGCTCTCTCTCTCTTACATATATATTATCTCAACACTCCTCTCCTCCCATAATCTAACCTAAATTAGGTAGCACAGTTCGGGTGTTCTGTCTCCAGACTAACAGCTTATTCTATATTCACTCTTCTCAAGCTTCTTTAATAATTTGCACTTTCGGTGACTCCCATCGCACTATGCCTTCTTCTCGGCGGATGTTTGGACGTATCCCCCTGTTTGGTCACTCCTTACTTTCTTCTTCTATTTCTCGTATTCTTTCCAATCTTTCTAGCCTCTTGCAGGTGATCTTTTTCGGGGTTCCCTCTAATATTCTAATAAACCCTCCCCTCCAGTCTCTCCTGTTAGTTTTACTCCTCCAATATCTCCACCACTGTCTGTCCTCAGTCTCAAGCCTCCCTGCTAACGTTATACAGCTGGTCACGTGGTCCAGTACTTCTTTTTCCCTGCCACATACCCTGCACTCATCGCATCTCACGCCATTTCTCTTCTCAATTAGCACGTTGCCACATCTCCATCTCGCTCAAGCTGTGTTCTGTTCCGTGCTTAACTTCCTGTCATGCCAGTATCCTTCCATATTCACTTTGTGCTTTATTTCCTGATAGTAGCAGTAAGTAATATCTTCAGTAATATCTTCAGCCTTCAATCTTCCCCCAATCTTTCTGTATCTCCTGGTCTTCTACTATTTGTACTATCTTCCTTATTTTCTCTTCTGCTTTTACACTTTCTCCTTCCCATAGCATTTCCACTAGTCCTCCATTTCCTACCTCCTTCAACCTCTCCTGAACCATTTTGATGGCTGTCCGTCCTTCATTCCTCTCAGCTCCTCTCTCAGACATTTTCTCGGTCATCTCTCTTCCCTCAACCTGGTGATTTTTATCAGAAATGATGCCACCCTTCT